TGTGGGTTGTTGTTGTGGGTTGTTGTGGGTTGTTGTGGGATGTTGTGGGTTGTTGTGGGTTGTTGTGGGTGTTGTGGGTTGTTGGTTGTTGGTTGTTGGTTGTTGGTTGTTCGTTGTTCGTTGTTCGTTGTTCGTTGTTGTTGTTGTTGTTGTTGTTGTTGTTGTCGTTGTTGTTGTTGTTGTTGTTGTTGTTGTTGTTGTTGTTGTTGTTGTTGTACGTTGTTGGTGGTTGTTGTTGCTGCTGCTGTTGTTGCTGTTTGTTGTCGCTGCTTCCTTGCCGAGTACTGTGGAGGCTTCCTAGCCTTCGCGAGCAGCGGCAAAGAGCCGTCAACCTGCACCCGTTCAACCAAGGACCGTCCTTATTCAAGCTTTTGCCGATGCGCACGCGTTCGAACACTTAAAGGTTGGCAATATAGATATATGGAGATATAGAGTTTCATGACCTGTGATGCCAAGTGAAATCGGCAGGAGGCCTGGTGGCTGGATCCGTTCATGAAGCCACGCGGAAGGGCCTGGCTCTGGCCAACCAGGCAGCTCTACGAGTCTGCCGCCAGGACATGCTCGTCAAACGGCGTAGACTGCAGTGATGGCAAAATGTAGAACGAGCAGACTAGAGCACGGTTGAGGCAGCGGCCTCTGAAGCAGGAGCCTATCAACGACGTAGCTTCCAGGCACCAGGAGGCGCGAAGAAAGCAGGCAAGGGGCAGCACCTCAGCTCATTCTGTGCTACTGAGCCGTCGAAGCCTTGATTCCGGAGCATGCTGGAGCTGTCTGGTAAGGTGACGCCAGGCATACTGCCTGCTCCAAGTTGCGTCAGCCCCATGCAAGGATGCCAGGATTGAAGGCCTTGAAGGGACCCAAGGCCAGCAGGGCCCCGCCAGGAGGGCCGGGGAGGGTGGGGACCTGCGAAGATTCTACGCCATCACGCCATCATCAGCCTTTGACAGGTCTGGGCGTCGCCAGAGTTGACCACACCATACCCTACGACATTATGGCAAGACTTCCAAGCTCTTCGGGCACAAGATGCAAACTGCACACTCAGCGTGTGCGCTTAGTCTTTTTTGCTAATGCGGACATTTGGCTTCAAGTTTTAATCTCGAGAAGTCCTGGATGCAAAAATCTCGAGATGGCAGCTACTCGGCATAATTCGTGCCACGAGTTGTCAAGCACCTCTTCTTTAAAGTCAGGGAGAGATGAGTGAACTTTCTTGTCCTACCACATCGAAACCCGAATGGGGTGGAAGCGAGATCTCAGCAGAGTGTCCGCGGGATGATCTGCCCTGCAGCTGCTTGCTGTGCAAAGCTGGGTGCTTATTGAATTTGCATGTGGCAGGGCTGAAGCCTGTCAGAAGCCAGCCTGCCCGCGTTAGCTACTATGGCCCCTGTTCAGTATTTCATCGTCAGTTGAACGGTCACTTGGGGTCCTGACACTGGTAGGGGATCATAGTGGAATGGTTTTGTCGTGGCATCGTAGCCTATGCCAAAACGCTAAAACTTCGGGTGCTGCCATGGGCCAGACCTGCCCCGACCTTAGAGGTTCGTCAGGGCCAAAGCGGTCGAGTGTGAACATTCATTGCCAGGCTGCGCAGCCGAGACGCCCTGCGACGAGGAGCACATCCCAAGACGAGAGCGCACAGCTCTGCTCGTGAGCTTCCTAGATGAGCTGGCAGGATGCAGCAGCTGTCCAGCCGAGCACTGCGGATTATCAATCAGTCTTGCCGCGTGGCATTGATTGCTCTTTGACTCTTTGACTTACCTAGGCTTTTACTTCTCCAACTTCGCTCTTGTACAAGCGGATCGCTCGAATCCCGAGCCTTTTCACGGTTTCCACGCAACAACGAATTCACATCGCCCGTGCATGAGCAAGCACACCATCGCACCAGAGAGGTTCCTGCCCAGTCGGAAAGGGGACGGGCGCAGACGGCCCCCTAGCTCAAGAAAAAAACCGACAAAAAAAAAACGAGCGAGCCACAACCTTGTCATGCATTGCTGCATTGTACGTGTCGTGGGATTCGTATGGGATCCTGGATAGGGATGCCAAGGACGTAGTGCCATGATGTTGGAGTAAGAGCTGGAACCTCTGAATGTCGCCTCGTAGGTCTGACGGTGATCCTCAGTCGAGCTGCGTCACAGCCGAGGACTCCCGAAACTAAGAAGGAGATGAGAGCAGACCTGAGCCTGTAAACCGGGGTCTGCAAAAAGTCAACACGCTGCAGAGCGGCAAATGCCAGGACGTGCCGAGACTGTTGGACGCCCCTCGAAGGGCTATTGTGGCCACAGCCGCGGGTCTTATCCGTTTTTGCAGTGCTACGTAGATCATGGTGCAGAGGTGTAATCTGTTGCGCGCGTAATTCTAGCTTGAGTCTGCCTTACTGAGGCGGACCTGTGCAATGGTAAGGATCCTGCAGGCTGCTTGACAGCTTTTCGTCCAGAAACCAAGGGTTGGACCTTGAGATCATCGTACAGCCTGGTACTGTGCAGCAGGATGTAGTTGTGGGCAAACGAAAAAGTGTGTGCATGCAACGCTCTAGTTGGATCTTGAATGATCTTGAACCCTCATCGCACCAGCTGTTACATATGGTTCGCCTGACCGTCATGTATGCATGATCATGCATGGATGGATATGCGCAACCGGGGTCAATGATCAGCAGTGAGGCGAGTGCAGCGATCAACATGCATGCTGTTTATGATCTCGATCAGGACAAACTGGACCAAAGAAGTTGGTGATGTTGCTGCAGGATTCTCTGATCCGTTCGCAACTTTCCAAGACTTGTTCCGCAGACTAGCTGTTCAGGGTTTTCCAATGTTCGCCGGCTGAAAGCAATCAAAAGTGATGATCTCCGAGCTGAAGAAGGGGCTAGCTGTGTCCCGAAACAGAGCGCTTGCCGGCAAACATTCTGTTTCGACAGCCGCCAGAACTCGAACCCGGGCAGGAAGCGGACCACCTTGTTGACGGAGGTCTGGATGAGTGGCTTCGGGGCTGGTGCACAGACGAGGCCAAGACATTCTGCACTTTGCTTCCTAGTTGCATGCCGTCCATGTTTACGTCGCAGGTACTCCGCATGTTCTTGGGTGCTTCCTCCAAGGACTGCAGCAGACATGCACTTGATGTCATTCGGCAAACAAGCAAAGCCTTCCTGAGATCGGCAGCTAAACAACAGGAGTCGGCAGTGAAATCTTTGGCAGCGGCTTTGAACTGGAGACGGCGATACAAGGATGTCCTGACTGGCCTGCGAACACCATGCTGGCAGGCCCTGTAGGTTGCCCCGCATTGACCGACCCATCGAAGTTCTTGAACGACAGGGTGACATGCGCGTTGTGGCGCGGGGAGTGTCCGGACATCCAGTGACCTTGGACTGCCTGTTGCGTGTCTGACACCGTCAGAGTGACTCCTCCTACGTCTTGGTCTGGAGCCAAGGATCTTTATGTCCATGCAGCATCAGCCGTCAAAGTCGAACGGTCGCTCGTCCGCAGTGCAGAGGGGCGACAAGCCGAGCTCTTGAGAGACTTCTCTTGTCCGACCGATCTGATGTCTGTCCTAGGCATCAGCACAGCAGAGCCCTTGGATTGCAGATTTATGGGCCATGGACTGGCCTTAACAGGTTTGGAAAGATCAGGCAGTAGATGGCCATAGCTGAGGCACTTGGCTGTGGTGCTGGAGGCCGCGGTCTGCTCAGCGAAAGGAACCCCGCGAAGCTTCGATGTGGTGCCTCAACTGGAACGAGTCACACCGGCCTCCAAGCAAGACTTGGTAGAGAACACGTTCTCCAAGGTTTGTGATTGCCGTGGGTTCCAGCTTTCCAAAAATCTAGATCCTCGACCTGCAGTTTCGGCGATGGAGGCCAAATGAAACGATGTGGATTTCTTCATCCTGCTGTTCAGCACAACGATCGCTCCTTGACCCCCCGACTCTTCGAAGCTAGGCGTTTTGCAAATGCCCTGACTAGATGCTGAAGCACGCGTACCGTGGACGGATGCGTCGGGCATTCTTGGTTGGAGCTCCAGCGGCGTTCGGTGGCTTTTGGAAGCTCTTGAAAGGGTGGCCTGGATTTCGTGAAAGGGGCAGGAAGTGGGGAAGCTACCGTCAACGCACACGGCTGCCGGGCAAATGCATCCAAGGCTGCTGCCAAAGCCGACCCAGGACACACTGCACTGTATCATGGCAAATCATGGCAGGGCAAAACATGCACTTTCGGTATTTATTTCCGGGCGAAAGACCCTTTGCGCGCAGTGGTTTACAGCTTGTTCAAACGTTTACATCGCAAGGCAGGAAGCAAGGATTGTGTCTTCGATGGTGTTGTTCACATGGAGGATCGCCAATGTCAATTGCAAGCGGAATTGCCGGTAAGTTTACGACATGTTTGGCTAGACTAAGAATCTGAGCCGCTAACTGCCGTGACCGGAAGCGTGCAATGGAGCCATCCTCAACCTTCTGCTCGACGCAGTGTTCGTCGCAGCCCCCTTCTCCTGAGCCGCAGAGGCATTGCCACACGACATGCCACGCCGTGCTGCCACGCCGTGCAGCTACGACATGGCATGCTCAACACACGAGGTCACATTGCCAGCCTCAAAGTGAGGATGGAGATTCTTGTGCGATCTGCCAAAGCACCTCGGCCTGGACCTGCACCAAATCGTGCAACACTCGGCTGGTGCTTGGGAAACACGGCGAGGCGCTTTGGGAAAGCGACATTTCAACCCGCGACACCACTGTCGACTCTGTTGCCGGCCCGTAGGGACCCTGAGTTGCTAGTTGCTGCAGGCTGCGGCCTTGTCGCCTTGCTCTGCTCTGCGCTGTTCTGTTGAGCCACCGAGGTCTGTGCATCCTGCTCCTGGCTGAGTCGATTTCAAGTCTCATGCATCACGGGAGTCCTTTGCTGACACAGACTCGAGGTTCGCCCTGTCGCGTGCCTCTGTCCGGCCACAAGGGGGTGCAGAGGTCCTGCTTGCAGTGTGCTGCGACTGCCTCGAGAGCGTACCTCGGCTTGAAATGTAGGTATCAGCTGCAAGGACAGCGTATAGGACAACGAGAACCTGGGCGAGGGGCGATTTGCTAATGTTTCAAACACAGCAAAAAAGGTCGGCGCTGACCCAGCAGCTCTCCTTCCTGTCGCGGCAGCTCTCAGATCTCGCTGGTAGGAGCGGTCGTTCTTGTGCGAACAGCGGGTGGTTTGGACAGGCAGGCTTTATGTTTCGGTACGCTGCTTGCCGCGGCGCAGGCCAACTGCTGACGTGGCACCTGTAACACTGGAGGCATGCAAGCATCCTGCAATATTGCGTGGCCCGAGAATCGGCTTCAATTGCCAGGATGCACTCAGCAGCTTGGAAGCTGCAGTGGAGCCCCTTAGGCCGGCGGACTTTTCTCTAGTACTTGCGATACTGTAGTTCTGCCCCGCCCCCTCTTCAGGAAATTACGTGTGCAGCACAAGATCACGGATTCTCGGCTTGTTTTGGAGAAGACTCGAATGTCGAGCATGAAATCGTTTGACAGGCCGAGTGCACTGAAACGATCTTTAACTTCTGAGCACTGAGGAACGAAGATGCCATGAAGCTGAAGACCAGCTGCACAATCTCCGCACGGAGTTCAATCGGAACAGAGATTGTGAACAGGATCCGAGGCCATGAAGCTTTCTAATGCAACCCACAAGAAATGTGCAATATGACACGAGGGTGAGCGGCAGTGTGTTGCAAAGCAGAGACGCTTTTGACTCAATGTCATGCCGCGCAGCCATGAAATACTGTACTTGGAAGACAACTCCCGCGAATTCAAACCGGATGCTGTTGGCGGAAGGATGGCTTCACGTGCAGCGGTGCATTTCAAAATCAAGTGTGCATGCGGCCAAGTGCAGTTTCGCACAACCGCTCTATTGTCTTAGGGCCTTGGCGTAGTCCCGCTCGTTGAAGAATAGTGTCACGTGGTCTGCATGTGGTGCCCATGGCTTTTTTCCAAGATCAACTGTCCAAACTTGCCTGCAGGCTGATCACACCCGGGCCGCCCGCGCCAGGCCAGAATGCAAAAGCCATGGCAGTTGTGAGCCTTGACTGCTGCACGAGGCCATGGGCAGGAAGACGAAACCGACTGTTGGATATGTCGTGCCCGTTTGGGCAAACGCTGCTTGGCAGCACCGGACACTACTCGTAGCAGCACTAGCAGTAGATTTGTGCAGGCATTCCGTTTCCCACGAGGCTTTCTCAATCCACGGCACCATTGCCGAGCTTGTGGGAGACTAGTTTGTGGCCAATGTTCGCCGAGCAGAATTCTCATGGACGCCTGGCCTTGCCCGACAATTTGCAAGACAGACGACTCAACTGTGGACATCCGCGAGAATGCATTGCAAGGACGGGAGGACAACGCTACAGCGTGCTTGCGCACAGTGCACGCGGAGTGTGCAGGAGGTGCACGGACCTCAGGTGCAGATGTGCGTCATTTTGCAGCAGTTGATCTCTGCATGCTGGATTCACGTTGTAGCCGTCCCAGGCCCAATGCCACTCGCCGTTTACAGGTGCTAGCGGCAGGCACACGCAAGCGCTCGGTTGCACGAACTCTGGTGCGGGTAATTCATACATTTATCCTTTCTCCTGTTTCGCTCTGCGTGTGTGTGTGTGTGTCTCTCTCTCTCTCTCTGTCTTTCTGTCTCTCTGCATAGATTATCTGGCTAGTCCGCCTTCTATGTCCCATCCAAGCCGTGCGCGCAAAGCAAACGCAGCAAATCTCTCCGTCGGCCACGAGATCCCGGGCGTGTGATGAGCACAGGCGCCCCAATAAAGAGCAGTACTTTGCCCGTCGTTCTTGGCTGCTACCATTCTGCATGCTAATGTTCTTCCACGATCACGTAACTCTGCCCCCTGCGCACGAGAACATGTCGGGACTGCGATGTTGTCCCGGCTCCGAACTCCCTTCCAGAGCTGTCGCCCTGTCCTTTAGTTCTTCTGCAGTTCTCTTGTGGAACAGGTCTTTCCGTGCTGCTCGGCACAAGATCAAATACAGCGACGTCAGCTGCAGGAGCGGCTTCTTCTTGCCATTTGCCGCAAGATGTCACGGAGTCACGGCATGCCGCGCCCTTGGCAGGTCTGTGCAGCAGACTGGCCACGCTGGGTACCCTAGAGGGTGCAATTCGTGAGTGCGAAGTAGGGCTTGCCTTGCTTAAAGAAGCGGAGACTTGACGAGGCTTCCGGATCAGCTTGTATCTACTCAGCGGATCTTAGCGGTGACATGCTACAGCTACTTGACCTCTTGCAGGCTTCGTCGTTCTGTCTCGCTTTTGTCGTCTGGCCGACGTTGAACTGCATCATTGAACTTCGACAGACTTCTTGACTAGCCGATGTTTTTGCTTTCGTCCAGGCCAAGCACCTGTAGTTAGGTTCGCAAAAGCAGGGTGCCAACATGACGCCCACGTGTCACTTCAAAAGATGCGATACGGAAAAGACATGTAGTTGCTGATGGACAGATTTCCGGAGAGGGACGATAATGGAGTTATGCGCGTTTCGTCATGTTCTGGATGCAGAAGTAACATCCGAAAAGCCATCGGGTGCTTATCGCGTAGCGACATTCAGGACAAGATCCAGCTCATCGCCTTGAAAGAGGACATTCGCCGCAAATTGCAGTTTGCTACTAGTGAGCCGAATCAGAAGAGGGCTGTGCAAGCAGAGCCTGTCACAATCGCAACATGCAGCTGCCCGAATAGCCGGCGAAGCAGCAACCAATTAGGAGCAAGGTTGCACAAGCAAAGCGGTACCCTCGACATTGTACGCAGACTTGTCGTGAAGCGAGGCGTGGTTTTTTTGCGCAAACAACAAAGCCGCGTCGTCTTAGTTATTGCGTATGAGAACCATCAAGTGAGCCGATTGAATTTTTCGAAGGACTTGTTCGTAGTCGTATGAGCAGACTGGCTCCTTTGATGTGCATTCCCTATGGTTTTCAACAGTGAAAGCAGATCTGCAGCTGCCCAGCAAAAAGGCTGAAGCCCTGATGCTGCGAGGCTGGCGATGTTCTCCAGGGCTCTTGCGGCCCGGCTGCTGCGCACGTGGTCACAACACTGCTAGCCTCTGACCAGGACTCCTTATGATGTCACGTGTCACTCGGTGTCCGTACAGTAGTGGAAATGCGGACTTGCAGGACTCAACGTCGTGGAGGTTTCCGAGCGAGCTTGCTGATTGAACTCCGCCTGCGCTCCATCTCCATCTCGACGACGGCCTAGACATTAAGTGTCAGGCCCCTGAAACCTGGAGCGTGGCCAGAATCTACTCCCTGGCGCCTTTTCTATGAGGGTCCTGTCTGTTCGAAGGCAATCGAGGAGACTACACTCGGAACAATCGAACTGACAGAACTCCCAGTCTCAATTTTCAAACCGTACGGTTTGTTTGCATCATCCCTTCCCGACCTTCGCTGCCAGGATCGGGACTGTACAGTTTCCTTTTGTTGCTGAGTGCTGCCTTTCTTCGAACATCTGTCTAGATGCATCAATGCGAGTGGGTGGTGTCTCTATTGCATGGAGTTCGCGTGATAAAGAGAATAGTCTTTTCTTTGGAGGCACACATATTCGCGCGTGAGTGTGCGTATCGGCACTTACTTGCATGGTAGCTCATGCATGCAGATGTGTTCACATACATACATACATACATACATACATACATACATACATATGTAAACAAATAAAAACGTGGATCTTAGCAGTGCTCTCTTCGTGATCAGCTAGCTAGATAGCTAGATCTAGACAGGTAGATGGCTAGCTAGACAGATGGAAAGAAAGATGGATGGCTATGTCGATGGATGGATGGCTAGATGGTTCGATCGAAAGAAAGAAGGCCAGGGCGGCTAGGTATCTAAAACAGATGAGCATATACATCCTGAGGTAGATGGGCATACCGCAAAAAGCCGTAGTGAACACAACCACAACACCGACAGCTATACTGTAGACAACAAGAGTAGCCAACATACATGTCCGCGGCTGTGCGAAAGAGACGGTGTTTAGACTCAGCTGTCCAACAACTAGTCACTAGTCGAGACTGCCGTACTTGTCGGTTCTGGTTTGCAGGTGTTGGGATTCAGGCAGCAGACTTGGGGCCTGCCAGATCCGGCGAGGATCCTTTTGCCTCTTCCCCGTAAACTTTGGGGGGGGGGGGGCAGAGTGCCGTGCAGAACAGCAGCCCCAGTTCCAGCATTTGTATGTTTTTCCAGCTCGGGCTTGGCTCAAACCCAAACCTTTGTAACTAATTCGAGCTGCATTTTGTGGTGGTTGATCGGCCGTGGCAAACCACTTCTAGCTGTCACCACCAATCTGACCGGTCCAGCCGACAGACTCCTGAGTGGAAAGACTAAAGAGATCCCTGCTGGTGTCGTGTCATGTCATGCCATGTCAGGTGAGCGGCAGTGCGGTGGGATGCATTGCCAAGCTCATCCAAGATCCATCGCGGGTTTTACTGAAGCATGCAGTTTGGTTTGGCATGGTTCGCTCTTGAGAACGTCTTGAAAAACCCATGCCACCGATCGTGGCGAGGTCGACATGCCAACCGAGGGGGAAGAAAGCGCAGTGATTTCGGGCGCCACGCAACCTCGGGGCCCTGCAATTTTTGTTTGCCAAATCGGAGATCTTGCGGCCGGCAGTGCTGTGCGAGGTTTGGTTTGGTTCGGGGGGGACAATCCCCAGAAGTCTCACGCCGACGTGCGCAAGACGCAGTGCAGACTGGAGCCCCTACGGGTGGGGGGGCCGCGGCCCCCTAGCTCTGCAGCAAGCAAGCAAGAGTTTTTGCAGCAGCCTGTCGCCACCGGCCACTCGGCGCTTAGCGGACCTGGACCCAGCGGAAGGAAGGAAGAGAGAGAGCGAGAGAGTAACACGTGGGGGGCCCATGTGGCCGAGGGACCTAACCGGTCCCTTACGCCCAGTGGAAGAAGAGAGAAAGAGAAAGAGTGAGAGTGTGTGTGTCCCCAGCTTAGTACTTCGGTGAGGGATCATCGAGGGAAGAGATTTGTTCATGCGAAGTGGGCTGACTTGCCAAGTGTCCAATTCCAACCCAAGACGCCCGGCTTGAGGGGACATCCCTCCCCAAATCCCAGGCTCGGATTGCGCGGCCCGGAGCGTTGAACTGCGCACCGGAGCCGATGACGCATGCGGAGGGGCAAAGAAGGCGAGAGTGACCGTTTCCGTAGGCCGGAAAGCATCCCAGGTCGACACTCACTCACTCACTGTTCAGCCGTCTGTGTTTGCAAGGGGGGCAGTGAGCCTTCTACCACCCACTGCCCCACGATTTGCAAGAAAGCCGTTTGGCCGTGGTCCTGCTGGCTTCCTTGCACATTGCAGTTCTCCCCATACTGGTAGCTTGCTCCTGCACTCGACAGGAGCCCGGACGACACGATTCCAAGAAGAAAGACACATGTCCATTGATTGCGGGGCCTTCTCAAAGAGTGCCTTTAGTTTGCTCCCCAGTGCCTCAAGAAACAGAGAAGGCGGCAGAAACAAAGAGAAGAAGGAGGAGGACGAGGAGGAGGAGAAGACGAGAACGAGAAAGAGTGATGGCGAGTTTTTCGGCAGTGTGTGTTGTCGCCAAGATTCAGCAAGCACAATCATGAGCTATGTTCGAGCCTTCGCCGCAGACCTGTCTAGTAATGAGGCTTGCAGGCATTTGGCCTCAAGTGAGTTCGGAAATAGTTCTGGCCCTACTGGAAACCATGACCGATGCTGCGGCCTTGCCGGAAGGGACGGGCACCTGCTCGCAGTTCAATGTCATGAAGGCAAGTCCTGTTGGCATGGTATGCCCGATTCGTTTCACCCGTCGAGACTGTGTTCGCTGTGCATGTAAAGATGTGATTCTGCCAGGGGTTTGGTTTCATTGACATGGGCGGCGTCACGGTTTTCGTCCACAGTTCCGACTGCGAGCCCGGAAAGCAGCCGAAGGAAGGTGACGTTCTTACGTTCAACTACGAGCCCAGGACTGTGCATGTGCTTTCCTTGTATTTCTGTGCTCGCTAGAATCCGCTAGAATCTATCAGGCTTAACATGCAGAAGGCGCATAGCATTCCGTCAGCTGCATTGCAGGAAAAACAACCCGGAGCAGATGCAAGCGCGAAGTGTCAAGGGCTGTTCTGCAGCACGGACGGACGTGTGGGGTCAGCCTGCCTTCGCCGGGCCAGTGGAAGGCACAGGTGCATACACAGGGTCTGTGAAAAACTTTGGCTCGAAGGGCTATGGCTTCATCGTCATGGAAGACGGTGTGGAGATGTTCTTCAACATCAAAGACTGCGTGGGCAGCAAGCCAGTTGCAGGAGATACAGTCAAGTTCGACATCGAGGAGAGCCCTATCAAGCCTGGCAGCAAGCAGGCGGGCTCCCCCGCTTCTGCATTGTCCGCACAGTGCGCCTATGGTCTGTAATGAGGAAATTCGAAAATTCGAATGATTTTTCTGTTGCAGCACTTGCTGGCAGGCGAAGAACGTCACCGGAGGAAGCCAGCCTTTGGACCCACCGATGGGCATGAAAGGCGGATGGGGTCCCATGTGGGATGGGGGCAAGGGCTGGGGTGGCGGATGGGGCTGGAATGGAGGTTGGGACGGCGGCAAGGGCGCCTGGGGAGGTGGTGGCAAAGGTGGTCTCAAGGGTGGAATGATGGCTGCCGGGCCATACGGAAAGGGCGGAAAGGGTATGTGGTAGAGTGGGCGTCACCTCGTTCCTCGCTTCATCCGTGCTGGACTTGCCGCAGCGCCTGTTTCGCTTCACCACAAGCAATCTCAGGCTGGTGAGCCGTCACACTAGCAGTCAACGCGATTTTTCACTTTAGGCGGTTAAGTAGAAAAAATCGCATGCCTTCGCTGCTGCAGGTTAGTATTCGAGGTTTCAGATGGTACCCGGATTGCATGCATCCTTGAGTCTATACTCCAGTTTGCCTGTGGCAGCTGTGGCAGTTTTGACCTTTCTTGGCGGCCAGCCCATGCTTAATGCGTTTCCAGATCCTTCAGAGGGGTCTCCAGCCGATCTCTGAGTATTACATGTCAGACGTCTCACATATGATGGCTGCACAACACGAGAAGCAAGTGAACGGGTTTGGGCACGGCTACACGTACGATTGCACAGCCGGCCATGCACACAGGTAGGTGCAATGACCATACTGCAAGGTTGAGTCAAGGAGACGGGATAAAGACCAGAAGCTGCTGTTTCTCGTGGGAAGAGCCACCTCAACGTGCACAACTCGCCAGCCAAAGAAGCGTGCTTCTGCAGAGATTGGAATTCATGCATCTGCATGCTAACTAAGTGCTCAAATGGACTCTCAAATGGGTTGGATCCTGGGCTTCGCCGCAGGCCCAAAGGAAGCCCGCACCTCACCCCAACCTGCATGTGACTCAGAATTGGAATTCCGAAGCACCTCATTTGGGGATGCACATTGCTTGCCTTGGCACCTTGGAAGACATGCCCTGCAGAGGGCCAGAGTACATGTTTACGAACGAATAGGACGTAATTTTTTCACCCGAGGTTAAACTTCATCATATTCCATCCCCTCTTGCTGAGTAATTAGCAACATGGCGGTGGAAGACGATTCGAGCAGTTCGTCTTCCGAGGCGAGGCGAGGGTGAGGGACAACTGCATCTGCTGGCCAGAGGACATTGACAGAATGCTGGCCATCGCGACACAGGTTTCTGCCAAGCGCCGTCGACGGCTGCCGTTGCCTGCATGCGTGGGTTGCTTTCTGATGTCTGGTTGCCATGAATCTAGTATTTTTACGTGGAGTCCAGTGGCCTTGACTCGGGTATCGATGATCTCATCAGCTGTTTCCAGGTCCTCAAGCTTTTCGGGGAATCGAGTCGCGATGGTGGCCGAGCCCTGACAAATTGCCAGCGACTGACGGAACATGTTCACACGGCGTGCTGGTCTTCCAAAAGACTCCCGACCACGTTGTTGCAGTTTGGCCCAAACCCTCGAGTCGGCTGAAGTCCTGGCTGTGCAGAATCGGGCATTCCCAAAGTATGCCAATGTTAAAAGCAGAGCACGACGCACTTCAAGATTCAGGGATTTGTTTAGACGGGAGGAACAGTGGCTCAGAAAGTGGCCCCCCCACCTCCTTGAAAGCCATGATGGACGCCGCAGCCCTGCCAGAAGGGACGGGCACCTGCTCACAGTTCAACATCATGAAGGCTTTTCATCCTGCACAAGCATGCCCTGTTGGATTCGAGGCTTTGTACTCTGCGTAAGTGCAAATGTGATTCTGCCAGGGGTTTGGCTTCATCGACATGGGCGGCGTCACTGTTTTTGTCCACAACACCGACTGCGAGCCCGGAAAGCAGCCGAAGGAAGGTGACGTTCTTACGTTCAACTACGAGCCCAGGACTGTGCATGCGCTTTCGAAAAGGCACGCAGAAGGTGTCTAGCATGCCGTAAGCTGCATTGCAGGAAAAACAACCCGGAGCAGATGCAAGCGCGGAATGTCAAGGGCTGTTCTGCTCAACGGACGGACGTGTGGGGTCAGCCCAAGTTCGCGGGGCCGGTGGAAGGCACTGGTGCTTACAGTGGGAGTGTCAAAAGTTTCGGCGCGAAGGGCTATGGCTTCATCGTCATGGAAGACGGCGTGGAGATGTTCTTCAACATCAAAGACTGCGTGGGCAGCAAGCCAATGGCAGGAGATACAGTCAAGTTCGACATCGAGGAGAGCCCTATCAAGCCTGGCAGCAAGCAGGCCGCATCCCAAACTGTGCGCTGTGTGAAGCATTTTCTCAAAATTGCAGCCTGCATTCTGCTTCGTCCAATGAATAGATCGTCGCACAGCAAGTAGCCCAAACACGTTTGGTAACCCCTGCTGCGAGGCCAAGAATGTTACCGGAGGAAGCCAGCCTTTGGATCCACCGATGGGCATGAAGGGTGGATGGGGTCCGATGTGGGATGGGGGCAAGGGCATGTGGGGCGGAGGCGGAGGCGGTGGATGGGGCTGGGACGGCGGCAAGGGTGCCTGGGGAGGTGGTGGTGGCAAAGGCGGTCTCAAGGGTGGCATGATGGCTGCCGGGCCATACGGAAAGGGCGGAAAGGGCATGTGGTAGAGCGGGGGCCAACTTGTCCCTCGTTTATGCCACGCCGGACTTGCCGCAACACGTGCTTCACCACAAGCGATTTCTGCCGGATGCAGCCAAGTATACTACAGTGGGAGGCCTCGCAGCTGCAGACTTCTCCAGCTTTCGATTTGAGTTGAATAACTCGCGGCTTGCGCCCATAAATCAATCAAGCCTGCGGCGGCTGTAGCAGTTTTGACATGGCAAGCTTCTTGGTGCGGCCACCTGGTGCCGAATGCCTCTCTTTCTGGATCCAGTCATGTGGGTCTACAGTTAATCTTGACATTAGGTATTAGCAGAAGAGTATCACACGGCAGACGTCTCACATATGATGGCTGCCTAGCACGAGAAGCGAATGCCTGGGGTGTTGGCACAGCTGCCAGGCGGCAGATTGTGTCCACCTCAATGTTCGAACCGCCAGTTGGGATGTTAGACTCAGATCAATCAGGAAGACCGAAAGTATCAGCTCATGCTTCTCGTGGGACGAGCCACCTCAACGAGTGCGCAACCTCACCAGTCAAAGGGTATGCCGCTCTTGACCAGTGTATGTGCAGAGGGCGGGCTCGTGATTCCAACTTATGTGTCCTATGCTTAACAAGAAGTATCTCGTTACCGTCTCTGTCTCTCTCCTGCAGAGCGCAGCTGAAGCCGGTAGCTGATGCCAAGATGAGCTGGTGCTCGCTCACCCCGTCGCTGTTCAAGTGGTCCTTGGCCCAGAGCTGGGCACCAAGTCGGTTCGGTCCGGCGTCTGCGCTTTGGGTGGGTGTTCTCTTCTCTTCCTAGGGTGTCTGCTGAGAGCTAAGAGCCGCGACTCGTAGGCCAAGTTCCGCCGCTGTGGATCCGAGGCTCCGGTTATGCGTCTTGGAGGCATCGCCAGCACGCCAGGAAGCCGGCATCGAGCAGGCCAGCTCAGGAGGGCATGCGCCAGTGGAAAGAAGCGGCAACGTGCCAGGCGGTGGATTCAGAGAAGCAAAACCTACAGCTTGAGGGTGAACATCGGGGCCTGCTCGATCCCCAGTGCAAAAAAAGATGCTCCCATCGATATAGAGGACAGTAGGAAAAAGAGATCCACAGGTTGGATCCGTATGGCCTTGCGATTTGGCCTTCTGCTCTTGCTCCAGCCTCATAGCCAGTTGAGCGAGTAGGTGCTGCCAGTGGCTTCTGCCGGAGGTCCTAGCCCAAGGAGTTGCAAGCTATGCCGCTGAAGCCTCCACTGGTTCCCGAAGAAGACTTCTGGAGCGGAGCCCTCTTTGCACCCTCGGCGAAGTCATAGATAGGCTGTGCACGTTGTGAGAGGAGCTCGGGGCTGGCTGCGGGATGGTTTCACTTGCCGTGCCTGGCTTAGCCTCTCCTTGGATCTCTTGGCTGGACGCTTTGCATCGTCCTGGAACCACCCAAGGCGGCACATTTGGGCTTTGAAGTGCTTTCCACCGATTTCCGATCATCGCCACTATGCCTGGTGGCTGCATCTGCGAGGCGGCAGGCTCACAGGGGGAGTGCTTGACAAAGATGGCATAGTCTTGCAAGTCAGTCCTGTCGTGTTGTCACTGGTCGCAACATCGTCGGGGGGCTGCGAGTCTCCGTCAACTAGCTCATCGGAGTTACGTGCCAGGATGTGAATGCCTGTTTTTTTTTAAGTTGAGCTGCTTGGTTTAGAGGCGTGTTAGGCACCACTTCTTCCGGTTTCCGTCCCGAGCCACTGGTGTGATACCTTCGGTCCGTCGCATCCACCAAAATCACAACAGCGGTGGCTGTCCTCATTTGAAGAGCCGAACCGTGGGGACAAAAAATCTGACAGATGCGTCATGACTCCAATATACTCCAAAAAAAGGATGACAAAGGCATCTGCAACCTTTTTCCAGCTTCTCGACGTGCCGAGAGTTCAGAGCTGCAGCAACGGAGTTTCTGGATCCAACCGAAGCCAAGATTCCAAGAGTCTTCTTTCATGGGTGCGATGCCCACTGATACCAGTCGAGTCGTAGCAGACTACAAAGATCTGTCGACGGCCAGTCACGCTGCATTCGTCTAGAGTCTAGAATTAGCATGATGGCTGCCAGCCTGGTGGGGCGAAATCGTCACGTCGAGCTGAGTGGCGATGTTCCAACCGTTGAATTCCGTTGATTGGTTTGTGCCGGGCATCTTTATCCTATAGCCACACTGCAAGATGTCAGGATCTCAGCAAGCGAGTCCACACGTGCTTGCTGGATATTTGCGATCTCTCCACACCTCTACCTCCGGCCGACGTTGTCGTCGCCGCAGATGCCCGAAGCTCAGCGTGCATGTGCGCGGGGTGTCGTTCACCTGCCGTGTGGATGCCACTTTGCAGGTCCTGTACGACGCCAGAACAGCAAAGGCCATGGCGGAGCGGGTGGCGGAAGCGCACCTGCGTGGAAGTGTGGGAGGGCCAAGTTGTCCTGGCTCCACTGATCTTTCGCAACGTCTGGACTGGAGAGCCAATCAGGTTAGTTCAATGCACCAGGTCGTGTCCCGAGTGCTCATTTTCGAGCCGGAGCTCTGCCCAGGTTGTTCTGTTAGCAGATGTTGGCCGCCCAAACCGCAGTGGCCCCAGTGCCGGCGGCGACGTAGTCAGACTGCAAGGATGTACTTGGTCGCATCGGTCGCCGAGGAAGGCTTTTTCTCAGTCGACTGCTGCAGCTGCTTCCAAGTCTTGCTACACGGCTGCCAGGCACAAGGGTTCAACGTCATCTCTTGGCATTCACAGAGAAAGCAGTGCTCAGGATTTGACTTCCCCATTGAAGGGCTGGCTGTACAAGAGACGGCAGGGGAGCAAAGACGATTACCTCGCAAGCTTGTTGGGAATCTGCTTTAGAAGAAGCTGAAGTGGTTCTCAGGATGGTGCAGAGGTGGAGCATCGCCACGTGCCCGTGCAGTTGCTGGAGATGTGACGTTGGATTAGATTCTGGGTGAGTTGGCTGCCCTCGCATGATGTCGCCAATCCCGAAGGAGATTCCATTCGACGGCCCCGCCGCCGAAAAGGCTACGCGAAAGTCATCCTGCCACTTGCATTCCACAGCAAATGATTTCGGAAAGCAGGGTTCAAAGAAAAGCAGAAGCCTGATTAGCATCCAGACGTTTCGAGTACAGCAGATTGGTTTCTCCACAGCTTCAACTCACGGCATGTGAACAGACCTGACAGCAGGTCCGAGCTCAATTCCCGGTACGGGGCACAGATTCTGGCGTTGCAGTGGCTGTGCCAGCTGCGCATTGTACGCGGACCTTTGAAGCTGAAGCTCTGGAATCTAGTTGGCGACAGATGGTTCACTGTAGGCCAAATGCATTCGCCCCGCGGCTGTTGGTGCTGCATCTGTGGTGTTGCACTCGGCCAGAGCTGTGATTGAGAGCCCAGGTGACTCAGCAGAGCATGCTTGCATTAGGTCGAAAGCACGTGTTGGGTGAGCGACGCACGGAGTGCGAGCGAGCCACAAAGAGTTGGTGCTCGTGCTACAGCGAATTTGTAGCTGGCAGTGGTTGCGGGATGGAACTCAGAGCTCAGGGTTTTGCGCAGCCGCTTCCCGGCTCAGAGTCCAGTGGGACAGAGCCACTCCGTTGCCACAGATCGCCAAACTCCTCTACTGTAGACCTGAGGTGGCATGAAATCGCATTCGTACATGCACGCATGACAGCTGCAGATCGTATACAGGCCTCATGGCTCCAAAGAAAGGCACGAAACGAGTGATTCAAGTGCCAGAAGAGGACGTGCGAAAGGGGATTACTGTGCACACCCTCGTTGCTTGCAGAATCCAAAGCAGGACGAGCCGCCGGCCAAGAAGCTGCTCACTTCACTCAAGAGGTTCTTATTAGGGAAGCAGTTCGGACCTCGTTCTCTTGGCGTATGACTCGTGCCAGGCACGGTATCAAGGAATCTACGTATCGCCATGTAGCAGACGCCAGCATCTAATTCTGAAGCTTCTGTAGCATCTGCAGCCATGTCATCATGTGACATTCGGTCCTTGCGAGTGAGTGAGTCAAGGTGTTCTCTCATTCCGCAGCTGCTCATTTATCGCAGGTTCGCTGTCGCACGCAACTAGGCTGTTTGCATCTCTTTGCCGTGTGTGACCCCTCAACATGCCTTGCAGGATTGCAAGGACATGTTCATGGCTGCACTCCCTTTCAGTCGCCTGGACAGCCATTCCAGCGGTTGTAGGATGCGTTTCTGCGATATGAACATGCTCGAGCATGTCAGGTCTTCTGATGGCATCGGATGAGAGGAACACCTTCCAAGAAACCGTCGTGGGACTGGTGGACAAGGTCGCACGCCTGGATGCCGGCTGATGATCAACCGCTTGCGCTGCAGTAGTCGTGGATTGTAGTAGTAAGTTTCACCCGGGCCCGGGAGTGCGAGTATATGGTGTGGAGCGCAGGTAGGGGTGTCGAAGCTGATCGCAGTAGTGTTGGTCAAGATCTCATACATGTCGGAGTTGCTTGCACGGTGGACGACAAGTTTCTCTCTTTCGTAGGTCGCAATCGCCCTGTTAGGCGGATGTGAGGAGTCGAGCATAACAAATGCGGAGAAGTTCTTATGGAACCATACCCAAGCCTCTTCATGTGCATAGGCTCTCACATAGGATTCCAGGCAATTCCAGGCATTTAATTACCATCATCATTGTAGACTTGTCGACAGGCTCGCCATTGCCTGTGAAAAATAAGCCGTGAACTCTTGCCAGTTTCGGCCCGAGCTCTGTGATATCGGCAAACACAGCAGGCATGTCGGATGACTTTGCGGTGGTGCGTTCTATCATAGAAGACAAGCTGCACCAGGAGTTCTACAATGTGCCGACAAAGGACTTACCGCCCCGGATGCAGCCTCGTCAGCTGCCGAACCTCCAGGATGCCATGAAGATTGATTGGGATGATTGGAAGAGCTGGGAGTGGATGCAGCCAGGGTGGAAAGGTGTGAAGATGCATTCTCAGTGCGTCATCAATGCCGACGGCTCCGCGGAGATTCGAAGCGTTTGGAAGTGACCCAGATAGCCGAGGCCGGTACAGAGCGAATCCAGGCAGCGCCGGCCATGAATGACATTGATAAGGGCCTAGTATGAACAAGTCCTCTTCCAAGTGACTTGCGCACAGTGCAGGCAAAAAAAGCTGTGCGAGCCTGGACATGTCAGTTTCAGCAAAGTCGTCGAGAGCGCAAGCTAGCCCACCAACTGGAGCTTACTGCGAAACCTCTCAAACTGTTGGCCCGTGCAGGTGGTGACCGAGATGCTGGCTGGCATGCAGGAGTCGCTTGACAAAGCGAACGAGAAGCTGCAGTTAATGGATGCGGAAAAGGCAGCAGAGTAGTTGTGAGTCCTGACTTCAACTTCATCAAGCACATTCGTGTTGTATTCGTGACACCAGGCACGACTTGATGAATCAATTCAGTTAGCGGAGGACCAGTTGAAGGCCGCGCAGGCCCGCGGAGTCGTGAGTCACTCTGCTCTCGACCTTGACGCAGTGCCCTATTCTGGTTGAGGCCTGCGCTTGTGAGAAGCGGGCCGTGGTTACTGCCGCCTCTGCTGCTGTTTCGGCCGCGCAGGTTTGGTGGGGGTGACGTGACGTACTGCAATGTGTGGGAAATTCGGAGAGATTTCTCTGATCGAGGAGAAGCTAAGTGTGGCCAAAGAAGCCGAAGCAGCTGGACAGCGAGCGAGACAAGCTGCCTCTGATGACAAGGCGCGGCCTTGTTAAGCACAAACAACACATGCTCGATTCGAAGACCTACTGGCTTCGCTGCAGCTTCGCTGCAATTTCAGCGTCCAGGCCATGCTCCAGCAAGCTGTGAGTACTGGGTGCTTCTCGAGGCATGTGAGATCTAAGATGCAGGTCGGCGTTGTCTTGGTGAGATGAGACAATAGTGTTTCGCAAAGGCTCAAGGCTGGCGAGTGGGAGGATGGCGACTCGCGCGCATCTGATGGAAGCTAGATTAAGTGGCATTGAGCTCATGAGCTGACCTGGCAGGTGAAGCAGAGCGGCTCTTCAGTTCACTCGAGCCGCTGGTGCTGAAGGATGGGAGAAATCATCCTTGGCTGTTTGTTTCGAAGCTTAATAACGCAGTAAAGATCTCCAACTGTACGGCGAGCCCGAAATTTCTTGCAGAAGCTGAAGACCGATTCATCTTTGAGAACGGCAATGCGATGTACTCTTCTGAAGATGCTTGGCAGAAACACAGCAGGCGCGGAGACATGGTCAGACGAAGGCTAATTTGCGAATCCTACGGCTTCTTCATTAGGTACCGCGGAATGCGGAAGTAAACCAGACCCAACAATCAAACTTGAAGCAGATCTACGTCAACATGCCCAGGACTACGGTAGCTTCATGAGGTGAAGCCAGTTGTGCGTGCGAGAATTGGAGGCAGCTCATGACCCGTATGAAGGGTTGCAGAAGTTCAGGCACCAACTCCCTCCTGGAGACATCGTCAATTAGTCATCTCTGACCTTGCCCGAGGAAGCCGGTGAACCGCGGGCAGTTTGATGCCATGCTGCTTGAGGAGACATGGACATCAGAAATCGAGAGCTTCGGATCACGTGCCACAACGAGAGCCACAGTTCTGCCAACCACTGGGTGGACACGTAGGCGATACGGAAGCACAGCGAGACAAGGGCATGTGGTCAGCACGGACAACCTATGCTAGGGGAAGCCCTGCAGGAGCTTGAGAGAGCCTTTTCGGCGCGAATCTCGGAGCTTGAGTCGAACCTTTCTGAAGCGGGTGCCGTGACAGCAGAGCTCGCAGAGAATGTGGCTACAGCACATGCTGAAGTGGAGACTGCGATGGCCTCGCAGCAGCATGTGCCGGCCTGAGGGAGTGAACACAGCCTGCCTGGTGTATCAGCCGTGCAGCTTGAGCCGACCTCGAAGGCATCCGATGCGCTGTCCTCATCCTCCTCTGAGGAGAAGATGCGGGTTGCTGCCCTGCAAGCGGCCAAGGTGACTCTGCAGGAGACCTTGCGTGACTCATCAGATCAGATCGGAACGGCACTGCATCATGAGGCCTGCTGAGGTACATGATGCTACATGAGTCTCCTGTCTTGACCAAAATACATTGGTAGAGTGACATGGGTAGAACATCAGGCCTCGTGAACTTGGCATGCTTGCACGCACAAACCACTCGGCAAGCGCATGCAGCGAACACGCCGGCGTTAAGTGAGTGTGTGTGTGTGTTTGTGTGCAGGATTCGTGGCTGATACAGTGCTTGCTTTCGCTGTGGAGCGGACTTCGGTGCTCAGATGCGCAGCGGCTGTGCCTGCAATCCACGGTGGTTGACGGGGTTCCTTCCTCTCTGGCAAGTTTTGGGCTCGGCCTTTCGTGTCTGGACTTCTCCGCCTCCGTGCTGCTGGTAAACGACCTGACTTCTTGATTGCCGATGGGTCTTGCCGGATGCAAGTTTCCTCGGTCAGATGGTCTTGTGTACGTATACTTCCTTTCATGAGCAAGTCGTGCCCAAGTTCAGGCTCCATAACTTGGAAATCACACCAGGCTGTGTTGAGAAGTGCAGGAGAGATGATGTTATCCCAGCTCTCCGATGCCAACGACACTTGGCCAAAGCCTCTGCAGCCGGCTGGATCCCAGGGCTTTGAGGCGACGACAGTCTCGAGCCAGAGGTGAGGCAGCCGATGTGGAATGCCCCAGTGACGATGTGGAGGATCTGCTGAAAGTGACTGTCACCAGGGACTGGCTTGTCGTCGACCTCGTGTAGAACTGGAACTGGCCGATCTGGCAGCACATTATGAAGTGCAGAATAGTGGCAGTGGCTGCTTCGGCTCACGACGTGGGCCAATGTGGGCCATATTGGATGCTCTGAGTGTGGGCCTGGGTTGGATCTTATTTCTTTGACTCGGCGGCCTCTCCGGGGCTTGCATGCCCAAGGTTGCCAATGGGCATGGATCCTGGTGTTTGCTTTGCCGTGTGTTGTGTCTGCGGACAGGGGTTGGATCAGTTTGCCCGAAGACTGGGCTTCCGACCTGTGCGCACGATCCGAATCTGCACCCTCTGGTGCAGTGAAAAAACGGTTGCAAAGTTTTCTCTAGGGCCCTGCCCTACTGGTAGGGCCCGCAAAGGGGAGCTGCGCGAGGCTCATCGGCTTGCTTCTCTGTTACAGGGTCAACGGCGCTGCTTGGCTGCGCCCTTGGCTGTAGGCCTGTGATGGCCTGTGTCAGCTTTTGTTCAAGCCTCGTTCCGTGTGCCGTTCAGTGAATCTCGCAAAGTTTGGCGAGCTTCGCCAGTTGGTGTCCAAGCGTCTGGTCGTCATGCAGAAAGGTGTTGCGCTATGTGCGATTTTAGGCAAGTGCCCCTTGTCGTTGCACCCGCCTCGGCGTGCCGCCTGCTCTTCCACTCGCAGGTGTCGCACATCGCAGGCGTGCTGGATGCTGATGCATTGAGCAGCAGATCAAGCCCGGCCGGCTGTTGCCGTCGAGACCGACTGCAGGTTTACGTGCCCGCTGATGGATGGTATGGCCCTGTTGCCCCAACTTCGCATTGCCGTTTCCTGCCACCACCTTTAAATTGGCTGTGTAGTGTAGCTTGCTTGTTGGCCTGGCATCTGCAGTTGTCGCCCTGCGCCTGCTAGTAGGGGATAGGCCAGCAGCAAGGGCGTGGGTGGTCCTGCTGCCTGGCGATGTGTGTGTGTGTGTGTGCGCGTGTGCATTGCATGACATTGCCACCATTGAACGGAGGAGTGCACATGTTAGGTCACCTTAACATATCGCGTGTTGGCCTGCTTGCGCGCATGCACCACTCGGCAAACGGGGGCTGGTCGCACTAGGCGAGTGAAAATATCAGAAATATATATATATATATATAAGTGGGAGCCAAAAAAAAATATATATATATATATATATAAGATTATATAGTACAAGACTGGAGTCAGTCCGGCTGCTTTCAACTCCATAGTGCAAAAGGTGTGCGAAGCTATGGGGAGACACGCTGTTGGGGCGGGTAGTGTTGAGCCGTTAAGTGGGTTTAGGTGGATGGGCCGGCAGCAAGGCCCGCGGATGGTCCCGCTGCCTGGTGGTGTGTGCATTGCGACAAATTGCGACCATTGAAAATACCTAATGCGCAGCAGGCCAGCCAGCGAATTTGGTCTGACGACGAAGATGTGAACACTGTTTTCAAGGAAGAAAAAGCTTTCGGTAAGTGGACTTCTGACGGCCAATCATACGGAGAAGGCAGGATGTGAAGTTCCTTCCGGGCGCAAATGGAACCGCAGGAGCGACCAATTCAAGGGTGAGTGCACGCAGGCAGCATCACTCCAAAGACGCAAAAGTGTGAGCCGAATGTGGCTCTGGCCAGCGCACGACTCTGACATTCACAGTCTCTCATGCCGACACGTCCCACTGCCCCACCACTTCCTATTCGAGATCACAAGTAGCGGAACGCGAACACGCGGTGGTGTTCAGCTGTTTGATGCAGCATGACGACACACGAGATGTTCCGGACACCCCCCTAACGGCAAGACGAAACGGCAGTGTAAGTCAACCTCGATCCTAGCTGCAGTAAGCCGCTCGTTCTTGTGATTGCCCTTCAGCGCTTGTGGATGGAGCCTGAGGAGTTCAAGCCGAAGCATGCTCAGGCAGATCGGGAGATCCAGTTGAGAACTCGTATCACATCCCCCAGCCCACCCATGGCAGGCATGCAGCGGAAGGAATGCTGAGCAGCAGCAGATGCAGCAGTTCGTGGACAAAAATGTCGCTGCATTTCAAGAGCTCAAGGACGGCATGCCGGTTAAGGGCCCGTTATGTCCTGGCACATCATCCAGAACTTAGGACAGGGTGTCTGTCAAGCCGGAGAAGGAGATGGCCACTGGGAAGGAACTCCAGGCCGGCGGAGAAGCCTCCAAGGCATGCTCGCAGCGTCTCGCAGTCATGCAGTCAGGTTCTTGATGTTTGTGAAAAGTGTCCCAAACAGCTGGACATGCTGGACATGATTTGTCACATGCCTTCAGTGCGGACAGGCCAATGCGACATCCGTGTTGGCCTGTGAAGCTGGCCCTGAGGCCGTGTGTGGTTCCGAAACCCCGCAAAGTAGTGAAGCTCTCGTCCCGGACAGGTGGGTGGCGCATAATTAGCGAGAAATGAGCAAAGCCGTCCGATTCCCACAGCCACGGGGTGAAGGCTGCCGGGAGCAGCAACTTGCGAGACTTGGGAGGACGCTGCCAAGACAGCCCGTCGTACAACAACAATCACACAGTTTTGTTTATCGAGTTGTGAAAAGATAGGTCTACGCCTTCGTGCATACGTGCAGTCTTGGCAATGCCGGTACAGTATGTCCTCGAGCATTATCCTCTGTCTGGAGACAGAGGCTTCACTTGAAGGGAAGGAAAGGATTCCAGCGTGTAACCTCACTGCAGCAAAGGTTGGAGCTGAAGTTGATCCTGAAAGACTATAAATGACCATTAATCGAGGTTCAGCTTTCTGTGCTCGTCTCGGGGTTTGGTGGTGGTGCCTCGCAACTTAGCGAGCTGCTGGCAGCAGTGGGATCCGACTGCTGACAGGTCCTTGTTCCAGAAATGATTTCCGATGCTGCTTTGACTGACGGAAGCAAACACCGGTGGATGCTCAATGCACGCGGCAGTAGCCGCAGTCTTGCCGCCCGAACTGATCACAGGGCTTCCCCATTCAGCTTAGTGACAATTGAACATCCCACATGATTTTAGCCACAATTTTCAACCCGACAACCTTCCTTCACGCGAGCCTGGGTATGCACAACGCATGTGCAGACAATTGTGTGGACGACTCTCAGCAAAATGCTGAAGATGTATGCGTGTCAGCATGGTTCCTCGACCGCTGGACCGGCAGCCGCAGCAAGCAGAGGCCTCTGTTGACGAAGTTGCTGGGACTGAAAAGGAGCATGAACGTTTTGCTACTGACTTGGCTTTTTTCTCGAAATGTGAGGAGACATTCACCGACGTCGCTTTCCATGCAGAGGCGCCGGGATGCCCATGATTGCACGCATCCGCTGCTAGGACCCTGCTAGGAGCCATGTCGCCTTGGACTTGATTCTATGCCGAAGAGGTAATCGTGGGGGTCTTGCTTGTCCTTATCGTTGTTGTGGCGGTGACGTGGTCGTGGAGTGATGGTGCTCTTACTACATTGCCGTTGTTGTCGTCGCCGTTGTTGTTGCTGCTGTTGCTGCTGTTGCTGCTGCTGCTGCTGATATACCCTTTGCTTTTGCCGTCGCAGTTGCAAAGCTGTTGCGGTTTGCTGTTAGCTGCTAGCTGTTTACTGTTGCTGCTGCTGTTGCCGTTGTTGCTGCTGCCGCTGCTGGTGGTGGTGGTGGCGGCGGTGTTTTTGTGTTTGTTGCTGTTGCGGTTGCATTATTGTTTTTTGTTATTTTTGTTGATGATGCTGTTGCTGTTCTCGTTCCGTTGCTGTTGCTTGTGTCGTGTTTCTTGTTGCTTGTTGTTTTTTCTGTGTTTGTTGGGGCGTTTTTGGCTTATTTTCATTTCTTTGATTGTGTGATGGATTGATTGTTTGTTTGTTGTTGCTGCAGTTCCTGGTTTTGTTGGTGTTGTTTTTGTTTTTGCCCGCGATGGAGATTGGCAGCATAGTGGGCTCGATCGACGGTTCAACTGTCAAAAGCACGTCCGGTTGCAAGAAACTGAAGCTGTCATGATGATGCAGGCCGAAAGAGCCCGGCAGAAGGAGACAGCGACGCTGCGAGTTGTCACGAAAGGCCAGGGTATGTTTGGCGCAGCCTTGACTGGCCTTGAGAGATCGCTTGACGCGTGAGAAACTCACAACCAATAATTTAGCTGATGCCTTCCGGACGATTTCTGTGGCAAGGCGCTCAGCAGCCGCTGTTGACTGCCGCCGTGGATAACGCAACAACTGTGGCAGCGCTGAAGTGCGAGGCACCTTGGGCCTGGCTGCAAAACCATGCGAATTTAGCAATGTACTGGTGGTACTCCTGAGAAGACTCCAAAACCTCCTGGAGGTCGAAGCACTCACCGGCTGGCCAGGCGAAGCTGAAGCCTGGTGTCTGATGCAGACTCGGCAGTCTATCCGAACTGTAGGCTGTAGCCACCCACACGCCAAGAAACCTTTTGCCGGATTTTCGACCTGGAAACCTTCCGCATACGAGGTTTGGGAGTGTGAAGGATAAGCGCTCGTTTGTGTGGACGTTTCCGGATTTTACAGGAAGCACAGCGCTCAACCTCACGATGTCTTCCTCTACAGGGGCACGCCCTTTTGATTCCTGTCACCGTTTGTGTCTGCCCCGAGAAGATAGAGGAAGAACAACGACCGACCAATCTTTCCTGCGGGGAATTCGCCCTGCCTAAGTATGCTTGCAAGCCGGAGGCTCGAAACGAAAGAAAGAAAGGAAGGGTTGGACTCGACCAATGTGAAAGGTACCCCTGCGCGGACCTCATGCAGTGATCGGAGCACCCGGACAGACCACCAATGATGAAACACTTAGGGAAACCACAGCCACCAGCCGAATAAGGAGAAATCAGCACATTGTTCCGGAATGACAAGCCGAGGCGCACGAAGCATAGCTTCCATGGCAACTACTGCACGCGCACCGCACACCCGTCCGTATTTACTGCTCAGCTGGATGGTTATGATGTTGTCTAAGACAATCTCGCCAGAGGGCTGACCACGGAATGCCACCGACATGGCAGCCATCTTTCCATGAGCTTCACTGGTTTGGTCAAAGACCTGGTTGATGCTGAGAAACCTCTCTCTTTCCTCTCGCTCTCGCTCGCTCCCTCTCTCTCTCCCTGCCGCTCTCCCTGTCGCTCGCTCTCTCTCTCTCTCTCTCTCGCTCTCTCTCTCTCTCGCTCTCTGTCTGTCTTTCTCTTTCGCTGTCTCTCTCTCTCTCTCTGTGCTTTTCAGAAGGCGGTTGGCGGGACTGTGTACGAGAGGGAGAGAGGCTTCGGCACGGTCACACCGAGAGAACTGTGGGACCTTGGCGTACTGTAGCGCTTCGTGCGCAGGTTTCTAGGGTTTCGCACCTGCGGTCCACACGCGAAGCAAGCAAGCGAGCTTCCGCACATGAAGGCTGTTGATGTGCGCAAGGTTTGTGGATGGAGACCGGTATTAAAATGCGGGCTGGAGTTTCTTCCCAGCAAAGCAGGGCTTGAAGGGAATCCTGGTGTACATCAGAAAGAGGGTCTTGTCTGGCTTCTTGAGAGAACAAAAGGGGAGGGAAGATGCACAGATTTGACGCGGTAGGAAAGCAGCAGCTGCTCTCTTCGAATGGCTTGCCGTTGATGGGACACCAAGACTCTCGTCAAAAATCGGTTCTGCTGAAAACACCTGGCTGTCCTGTTGGTTTCAAGGTTGTACAGAGCTTATCGTGTCTCAGTGACGATGCTGAGCTGCATGCCCGATGCGCTGACGAATCTTGGGTTCGCGAAGTCGAGGACACGTGACGTCCAAGCTGCTAGAGGAGGATGCTGCTTGCCACGCTTGCCATGTCGAGCTGCAGGAGCTTGGTCTCACCACTGGAACAGAGGCTCGAAGAGCAGATCTGCTTGGAGACACTCTAGAAAGGATGATCGAAAGCTGTCTCCAAGAATCGGGGTCATTGAATCTCAGCACTATCTCAGTCCACGTCAAAGATTGCCTGAAGTGAGCTGGAACTCCTTTCCGTCCTTTCCAGTCCCTAAGGAAGGAACGGCTTGAAGCCAAGGTGTGCGGGATGACTCTTGGATGCCTGTGGGCTTGCGTAGATGGTTTCATTTGGAGTTTTCGCACCGTGTGCAGAGTTCACGGTACCGGTCATCATGTGTGTCTTTCGAGGAGCGAGAAGTTCAAGAAAGCCACCAGCATGGACCGGACCTCGTTGTCATTGCATCTTATCGAATGGGTACCTGCGTCGCAGTCACTCGAGCACTCAGATCTTGGGCAGCTCCGGCACCCTCGAGGCGACAGCTCCGTTGTTACGGCGACATGCGACGAGAGCGAGCATGGAGACGAGGCTTCTGAGCTCGCTTGGCACTCTCCAGGCCGCCGCAATGGATCTGAACCGCAACCGCGATGTGCTTTTCGAGGCCATGCAGGATCCAGGGAACTGCAGGTCTGAGGAATGTCTTGGTGCTAGGCCGTGCCCAGAAGTTCAAAAGCAGCAAGGCAAGCGGCAGAGGAGTACCGACTGCAGGGCCAATGAGAATGCAGCACAGCACGGTTTTTTGCACGTTGTCGTGTTTCTGAGGAACTAATGCGCTGCCGGAACAAGTTGCTGTCTTCTACGCAAGGCAACGGCGAGGTGCTGGAAAAGTCTCGCCGCTCGACAGGAACGTTCTTTCCTTTTGCTTCCACAAACAGCGCTCTGAAGGAACTGAGGTGTACTCGCTTCCCCCCAATATTAAGCCCCTCACCCTAATGTAAAAAACTCATTTCCCGCGGTTTGTTTATATATATTAGGGGGGTTTCTGCGCATCCCGGTATGAGTCAGATTGACAGGAATATTGTGTGGGCCAGATACAAAGACCATCCATCACGGGGCAGCCGTTCCGGCTGTAGCAGCCCTGAGCCCTGAAGCCGCCCTAAAACCCTAAAGCCCTAAGCCCAAAACCTTGAGCCCTAAAGCTCTAAGCCATAAACCTTAAGCCCAAAGCCCTAAGCCCCAGGCTTAGAGCTCAGAGTGATTGTGCTGCCAAAAAAAGCCCTAAGCCCCTAAACCCTAAAGCTTTGGTCCGTTCGGTTTGACCACTGCTGCTGTAATCTTGGCTCCATTAAAACTAACACAATCCTAGGCCTCCGCTGATGCTTTTAATTAACTTTCAATTGCGGGCCCGACACCGCGAAATCCCGGGGCGGGGCAAGCGATTACCAGAAACTCATCACCTGTTTAACCCTACAGCCTGATCCGGTAATTTCAGCGGAGAGAGTGAGTGGCAGCCCCCAAGTGAAGGATTGGTTCTTGGCCCGGCACACCGAGAGCTGCAGCAACTTGCGAGCGAAGTCCATGGCCGACTGCAGCAAATCCTGGAGCTGTTGTTGCGCCAAAGCGAACTCCTCCATCTGCAGAGGACCACCCGCGGGCAGTTTGCGAGTCGTACAAGTATTCGCTAAACATCCTCAGCCGAGCAGGTTTCGCGGGTGGCTTTCTGGCCGAAAGGTGGACATCAGTTTCAGAAGATGGCAGGCCAGACAGGAAAGCGTGAGCCTGGACGCTTCTGTCGTGCAGCAGGTCGCTGGCGAGCCTGGGGTATGTCAGAAAAAGCTTCTTTTTCAGAAGGGTTCTACTTGTATTGTCAGAGATGGGGCTGATGACGATGAACGAGTGTGGAGATGATGATGACGAGACGATGAGGACCTGCTCGTCAATCGGAAAGGCTACAGGCAAGCAGTTGCCACGAGTCCCGGATATGCAAGAAGCGCGACATGCTTCATGCCACCGAGCTTCTCACTGCCCATGGGTTTGCGGTGTGCCATCTGTTTCTTTGGTTTGTAAGGAACCTCGCTGCCATCAAGCTTGCAAACGAGTACCTGCAACAGGTGCTCGCCTCCAACGGGGTTGGTAGATGCTACTCGTACCTCAATACAGCTCGTGCAGCACTAGGGAACCTGTCAGGACGAAGCTATTGTCCTCAACTGGGCGCTCACGCACGTTTCCAAGGTCGGCTGGCAAGCACAGATGCCAGTAGTTTTGTGGTTGCATAGCTGGGTGCGAGGAGCGCACACTGGATCGAGACTTCATTCTGAGCGTGGTGAACGCAAACGGCGAGGTATGTGTGTGTGTGTGTGTGCGTGCGTGAGTGAGTTGTGAGCAATCGGACATGTTTCCTGTAGAATTTGTTCGCTCAATTGCTGTTTCTGTGTCAGGCCCTTGAGGAGGCACCCCCGGCTCTGCGTGGGGACCGCGAAGTCGTGCTCTGCGCGGTCAAAAGTTCCAAGGGTTGGGCCCTGCAGTGTTTCGGCAGCAAAGATTCCAAGGTTCCTGTTAGTTGCAGCAAACGCAAGTTACGGGGCCTTTCTCTTGCGCAGTTGCCGGAAAGCACGGTGCGTGCACCAAGTCAGACACATGGCATGAATACCAATCGAGTCCGTTCACACGTGACTTCTGTACTTTTCGTGGAATGTAAGTGTTGAGTGGCAGTGCAGAGGACGTCGTCTTAGTGCGGGTGCTGGCACTGAAAGATGCGAAAACAGTTCCTCGTGCCGCCTCTGGCCGAAAACTGCCATCATGAACCGAGGTTTGCCTCCGATGCGCTGAAACGAGATCCCGAAGTTGTGCTTACTGCTGTGCGCAGGAATGCCTTGTCATTGGAGCCCCCGGATTCGATAGCTTTTCATAGAATACATGTTGACATGTCATTAGCTCGACGAAGTCATAACGACAGTTGCGCACAACATAGGTTTGCAGCAGAATCGCTACGCTCAGATCGCCAAGTCGTCTTAGCTGCAGTGTGGCTTTGCCGGAATGGAGATTTGTAAGTCGTTTCGGGTGTGCGCATGCCTTGGAAGAGTCTGTGCGGCCGCTGGCACTTAGCTTGGGGCTCTGGCTCAGGCAGGTGCAGGGCGAAGCTTTGGAGTTTGCGTCGGCAGACATGAGGCCCTTCGAACGCACGAAGCAGAACATGTGGCTGTGTGTTGTGTCTTCGAAATGTCGAAATCCTTCGAAGTTCTTAGCTGGCTAACGTGCCTCACGCACTTCATAAGGCGAGATGCTGCTCGCTTCTCAGCGCGGATGTCGACTTCAGATCGCTCACGCAACAGTTTGCGTCCTTTTCGATGTCCGTGCTTAGGACGTGGTCGCGGCTGCTATTCGGAGCAGTATCTCTTTTGCAAGTAGACCCTGTGCATCCCTGTGCCACAATGCCACAACGAGCCAGCACAACAATAAGCCAGGTCGTGGCTGGGCGTTACAGTTCGCGTCGGAGGAGTGTCACAGGGCCATAGGGGGCATAGATCTTGATGTTCTGTTGTTGCAGACCTTCATGGCAGGAACTTCGGGCCTGCCCAGCCACCGTCCTGGCAGCAGTAAGTGCCAATGGCTTGGCTTTGGAATACGCTGACGGTGCACTTCAAGGCACCGAATCACGATGTTGTGCTTTTCCAAGCGATGTGAGTTGATGAGCATTCAGGTGACAAGCCGACGGTTCTGGCGGCTGTGGCAACGAATCCATCCGCCCTGCAGACCCCTAGCTGACAGTGAGTTGTGCAGCTTTCTGTGGAATGTTTTGTGGGTAAGGTTCGCCTCGAAGCAGCTGCAAGAAGACAGGGAAGTGGTGCTGGCCGCCGTCGCAAAGGAGCTGCATGCAAGGTGTGTGCGCCAGACGTGCAGCCAACTGCGCCAATCAAGCGGTCTTCCGGTGCTCGATGCAGAAAAGAGCAGGATGGCTGCGCGCTTCAATTTGCAGCTGGAGCCATGAAGGCGATGGCTGGATCGACAGCCACCCCTGAAATCCCCTGAACATAGATTATCAGTCTTTCGATTTTGTGTGAGACCACTGTTGTCCGAGTTGTCATGAGAGGAGATGGACCAGATGCCTCAACAGACTGAAGTACATAAACTACGGCGGCGCAAACCACCGCGACGACCATCACCCACGACCAGACACCGCCAAGAGATCACCAGCACACGAGGAGGCCACCAGGACACGGCCAAAATGCTCTCCCACCGGTACTGGTGGACTGTGAGGACCCAAATACTGGCTGGATTCAGGGCACAGCGCTTATGCTCCCCCCCATATACCTGCCGGAAGTATTGACGCAATGAGACGGAATTCAATGTTTTCGAGGCCAATAGCCAACAAGTGGCCCATTGGAATTTACAATCTGGCCTCTCGGGAGACCAGATTTCCACCGATCCTGTATACATGATAGGACACGAGAGCACCGCGCCACAGCGGGAGCCGCGTCACGAGAAATCCGGAGGGAATCGTAAGTTTGTCCATGGCGTGTCAAACTGATTCTCATGTGTCCACGCTCTTCCGGGAATAAAACATGGTATTTTGGAAGACTGCCTGATACGAATTGACTGGAACACCCTGAGCATTGAAGATAGTTGAAGCCAAGTGCAATGAAGGCCAACTTTTGCGGCTATACCAGCCATGTCTACCATGTGCAGGATCGGACTTATCATGCGCAAGAGCACAAATCACTTTGATTGCAGCTGCCTGAAGTTGAAAACGAGTTTCAGATACGGGCCAACATCAGGTATTATTTTATCTTGCAGTTCTACCCGTCAAACATTGCCAAGCTGCGAGCCGAACTCGCAAGTTTCGTGATTCTCCTTTTTCGCCCCCAGAAGGCACACTGGATACAGTGCTCCTGACGTTCCAGGATGTTTTCGCTAGCTGTCAGACTGCTCCGGCCGACTGCTGCATTACCTCGCCGAACCCTTCTTTCTCGTACTGTGCTTTATTCTGGTTTCAAGCAGTGAGAGAGGGAGTCTTGCGACAAATCGGCTGCTTGCAGGCGGACCGGGCAGTTGTCCTCGCAGCCTGGCTCCAAATGTGGAAAGAAAGCACGCCACGCGCACCCTCAGACATCTGTGAGATTCTGATGGTCATGGGTTGCTATGCACATGTGCCGGCCAACCCAACTGAGAGTAAGGTTTGGCAGGCTCTCAGTAGCTAAACGTTCTATCAAGGCAAGCACGAAGAATTTGCCTTCTTCCTAGATTATTGTCTACTTAGACTCTTAGATTGTTAGCTCGTTGGAAATCAGAGCATTTGGTACCCGGCGTCCTGCGTGAGGCAGCAATCCAGCAAGCTGGAACGCCGCTCTGAGCAATGGGCTGGGAAGATGTGGGACTAATAGGCTGCAAGTTGAGGACTGGCAGGTGTTTGCTTTGGCCACCAGAGTTTACAGCAATTTGGAACATCGGAAAGCATCAGCTGCCATTATCTTTCATCAACGCGCTTTGTTGAAAGAAGCGAAGTGCCTGCAGGCATGTGCTCTTGCTGGCGGACAAGGAGCTGCAAACTGACCTTTCAATCTTGGAAGAGGCGTCTCGTCAGTCTCCAAGCGCCCCGCAAAGCAAGAGAGTTTGAGCATGTGAAACTCTGTTCGAGGCGCAGCAGCAGCGGTGGCCAGCCCAGATGGTCATGGCACGCAATTCTCTGAAGCTCGTGTTGCTTGAGATGGGTTGTTCCAAGCTGCGAGTGTGAAGAACTGAGGCGTGAGAAGCTGGAATCCGCGAGACCCGCGACTACTCAGCCTTTCAAAAGCGAGTCGTGCCATGCAGGTGCAGCAGGCAGGTTTCATTCTGCCAGTTTCGGGCACAGTGATAAGTACGACGTTTGTGCAGCAGGTACTGAACCATCTTGGTCTGACAGTGCCTTTGCAGACCTCGACAAAACCCACTTGTGACACCACGCGGCGTGTCAACGCCGTTGCAAGACTGTTTCAAAGCAGCTACGGTTTCACAAAGGCTCGGCAGAGCTTTCTGACAGCACGTGGAGTCGGAAAAGTCGCGCCTGACTTGTCGCCTCTGTGAGGGTGAGCGTCGAAAGCATTGCAGCATTGCGACATCAACCGTCAACCCGTGTTTTCTGTCAAGGGCAAGTCTCTCTAGCTGGAGGCCGAGAGTAGGCTGAGTAGGCATGGTAGTGCAGCCGTAATTCACACGTAGATCTATTCTTTGCAATGGACGTGCCGGAATCTCGTGGCAATCCGCAAGAGGCTGCCGCGGACAACATCGACATGCCAGACTTGGACACGCCACCTTCTCCGCATGACTGTGATGAAGGATGCTTGGGCTGCAGGCCCGCCCGCAGCCGCAGGGGCAAGAAATCCTTCATGGAATTATCGGTGACTGCCGATGATGATGCTCCTGTGACAGTGGGAGTTTGCATAGAACACACCATCGTAAGATCTCGTTTTAGCATCCGGAATATCTGCTGCGATTCAGAAGTCCGGTTGATTGAGCGCATCATTTCGCCACTATTGGGCGTGCAGACCGTATCGGTGAACAGCTTCCAGAAGCTTTGCATCGTGGAGCACTGTTCGCCGTGCTGCACGACCCCAGAGACAATTCTCAACAAGCTCAACAGTGCGGGATTGGGTGCTGCTCTCCTGGGGCAGGGGGGTGACGAAGTTAACCCCGAACAGCTGCGCTGCCACGAATGGTGTCGGCGCCATGGTCGTAGCTTTGTTGTCCTTGGTGCGGCCATGTGCATGCTTGCTAGTGCTTTCACGGCAGGAATGGAATTAAGCAGCACTTTCCAGGTCCTTGCAGTATTAATCGGCCTGCCGTGTATTCTCTGGGAGTCAGTGATCGCCTTGAAGCAGTTTCAGATCGACGTCACACTGCTTGTGTCTATTGCCGTCTTTGCTGCGGCGTGGCATGGCGAAGTCTTTGATGCGTCTTTGGTTGTGTTTCTCTTCAACCTGGCGAAGATCATCGAAGCAGCAGCTATACGGCGGGTGGCCACGGCACTGCGCGCAGTCATGCAGCTGCAGACTGTCCGCAGCGTACAGGGAGCAGATGGAAAGCAGAAGCAAATATCGGACTTGCAGATTGGAGATGTGATTTCGTTGCGACCTGGTGAACAGTGCCCCGCAGATGGCATGGTATCAGCAGGGCTCGCCTCTTGCTCCGAAGCTGCAATGACGGGTGAGGCAACACCGGTTGAAAAGTCGAAAGGCGGCAGTATTTCTGCCGGGACTTTGGTCTTGAATGGATGCATTGAGGTCGAGCTGACAAAGCCTTCGTCGGAGTCACGCATGTCAGAAATTGAGGGCAGGGTGCAAGAGGCGCAAGCCAAGCGCACAGAGAGGCAAATGCTTATCAGCAGGTTTGCACAAACTTGGACTCCAGTGGTCCTCGTGGCTGCTCTTTTGACTAGCATGATGCCTGCTTTTGTGGGAGGTGACTTTGCGGAATGGCGCCACAGAGCCGTTGTTCTTCTGCTTATAGCGTGCCCGTGTGCTATTGTCATCGGCGCACCCCTTGCCACCACTTGTGCAATTGCAGCTGCCGCTTCGAATGGCGTGCTTATCAAGCGCCCTGAAATAGTGGAGCGCCTCCCAGCAGTAACCACTGTAGGTTTGGACAAGACTGGTACCCTCACCAAAGGTGAAATGACCGTTCTTCGTGTCCAGGGCATGTCCGGCTCCATGTGGGATGAGACGCAGGCACTGAAGCTGGCTGCTGCCCTGGAGATGAAGTCCGCACATCCGATTGCCGCTGCTATCGTCTCGAGAGCTTTAGGTTGTGTCGGCATGGCAAACAGCACCGACTTCGCTGTTGCCAAAAAAGTGCGCAGTTTGCCTGGAGTGGGAATTCAAGGTCATTTAACAGTCGGCACAGGCTCGGCAGCCAAAGTGCACAAAGTCCTGCTCGGAAACCGACGGGCTTTAGACCTGGCAAATGCGGATGCAGACTCGCAGAAGGAATTCGCCGGTTTCCAGGAGATGCACCGCAATGACACTACCGTTGCTTTGATCATCGACGGCAAGTTGCAGTTTGGTCTTGCCTTAAACGACACTCTTCGGCCAGAGGCCAGGAGGTTGATCGATGAGCTCAAAGACTTGGGGCTTCGGCCCTACATGTTGACAGGAGACTCCGAGTTTGCAGCAATGCACATCTCGGCGTGTGCTGGCCTGGATGCAGGACACTGTCTTTTCTCTTTGGCACCCGAGGAGAAGATGGAGTGGGTTGAGAGTGAGAACAAAGCAGGCAGAAAGACTCTGATGCTGGGAGATGGTGTGAATGATGCAACGGCACTTACAGTGGCGACTGTGGGCGTTGCGATTGGCGAAACGGGCGCTGCACTGTCGGCACAGTCTGCCGCCGTTGTCCTTCTCACTGACAAGTTACACAAGCTCTCGCAGTGCATCATCATGTGCAGATATGCAGTGCGCATCGAAAGACTGAGCATAGCGGTTCCCTGTTTAGTCAAGCTGCTGCAGGGAGTCGCAGCCTTGCGTGGTGAGCTTGACTTGTGGATGGCGGTTGTTGCTGATCTGGGCACGCTTTTGCTCGTGTTGGTGCTAGGTGTATCGATCTTGTCGCGCAGATTCTGGGTGGACGAGGACATCCTTGGAAGTTCTGCAGGCAACGCCAACGTGGCAAAGCGGCAGGGTTACGAGGAGTTCGTCTGACGTCCCATGTGCTTTTCCTGAAGGGAACAGCGGGAGAGCCAATGGGCTCTCCACAGTTTTAAAATCATTTCATGTTATAGCTTCGTGCATTTTCCATGGCTAGAAGACAGGGTCGAATGGCAAGGCAAGACTCGAACCGCTTGTAGCAGCACACGCTCGGCGCACATCTGTGGTGTCCTGCAGTTCTGGGCTTGACTTTATGTTTGTAGCCCTATCTCGGCTCAATGATCACATGCTGGAGAGGCGGCGTGCTAGTGTTTAGGGCCAACTATTCGCTCGGAGAAGGAGGCCAGGTGCACGTGCGGGAGCTATAAAGAAGAATCTTGTGTTCCTCTACTCAATGTCGGTCCTACAGGTTGAATGAGTTAGCAGTCTTGTGGTATTTACCTTGTGCAGTTTGCTGCCCTCACTGACGGCCTGCTTCCAGCATGTGCTGCATGCAGGTGCGGGCAAACAGCCATGCCGGTACAAAAGCCACAGCCGAAGAGCTTGAACTCTTCTTTAAGTGCACCGACAATTGGCAGCCGAGCTGCAAAGAGAATGGCTGCACAGCAGGAGTTGTTGAGGATGGTTTCAATCAACTGGTGAAGGCAAGAATGAAAGCATGAACATGCGCTCAACTACGGGTTCTTTGCCAACGATCCCGTGCGGGGCTGAGCTTCTTTTAGCTTGCTGATACCTGTTCACTTCTGTCCTCGCCTGAAGCCTGCACAGGTCTGTGGCATTGTATGCCACGCCGTCCTACAGCCACGATGCTGCATTGAGCATCGCTGGTTTGGCATTGATGCCTCTGCTGGTCCTCGCAATCGAGTAGTTACGATCTGCTGCAGCCGCGGGCGGTTGCACATGCTGCTTCTGAGGTTCGCTGTACTCAGACCCCGAGGACTCCTTGCCAAGATGTAAGACCGTGATTGAAAGCTCCGCCTCTCAGTTAGGTCTTGACTCTGGCAGGACCTGGAACCAGGTCCTGGTACTTATGAGATACCACATACCTTCGGTGTGGGCCTTGGTATGCCTTGGTAATATGCTACCACCTAGCCAGCCACCGACCATGCACAAAGTCCCTGTTTGCCGGCCGGCTCCAAGTACAGCTCGCAGGGCGTCAGCAGCTGTCGCATCGCTTCTCGGAGCCATCGGCGCCGTTGATCGCGAAGCACGGCAAGGTCACGCGTGGGGCAAGCTCTGAAGGCAGCAGTTTTTGTGAGCTCACTGCGAGGCATGGTCAAAGACGATGATCACCAAGGCCGGGCTCTTCTTGTCACATGCGGAAGTGTGTGGCAGTGTGTGGTTTCCAGGACCACTTGATGGCCATGATGGCCCGGGATTCCCCCGCACCAGGCAATCACGGTCCTGGTACCTTAAGTATCAAAGTTAGGCCGCAGTGGTCCATGCCCACAGGCACCTACATGCCGCGACTAGCTCCGGCCTTTGTTGCTAGGGCTTCTAGGGGTGTTGGTTACATCCGGTGTTTAACAGCTCTTCGAGCTCTGCCCAGCGGAGGCTAAGTCAGAAGCTCGGGTCCGGTTCGGCACGGGGCAGAGGCACTGAGTAGTTCCCAAAATGGAAATCGACTTGGTTGCGCCTTTCTCGGTCCAGGGCAGAGCTGTGCGACACCCACTTCCGCGCACCAGGGCCTGTACAGACCTCAGCCACCTGCTCTGCGAGGTTGCTGAGCACATGCCATTGTTTAAATATAAGTTTTTGTGACAGAAGTCAATTTGGTTTCTGCAAAGCTCTTGGCCTCTAAGGTCTACGAAGTGCGGGGATCTCCAGACAATCCTCCCCACCATATCAGGTTCACAAAGGCGCTTTCGAAGCAATGGGAACAAGAGAAGCACTTTTGGTACGGTTGGAGTTGTCACTATGACAGGCGAACCGGTTTGCTTTGGATGACAGAAGCCTGGCAGATTCGTTGGGCTCCACTGGCCCTGGACAGTATGAGGCCGGACCCTCCGAGCTTCAAGTCTTGGTGAGTGGGTGCATCTTCGCAGGTGAAAGGCTGCATCGATCAAACACGTCAGGCGAGGTCCTTCGGGGCCTCGCACCGGGCATATGACAAAGTCAGGCCAGGACCGTCGCTGCTTTCAAACTAGTGTGAGAGTGTGCCTAAGAGCGTCTGTGTGTGTGTGTGTGTGGTTGTGGGTGTGGCTCTGGCCCAGGTTCCCAGGATCCGAGAAGGAGGGCCAAGGACGCTCCTCTCCGGGGCCTGGACCCCCTCTGCTCTCGAGGCTCAAACTAGCCGGATGCTGGACTACTCGAGCTCTTGACAACTTGAGCTCTTGAAGCGGAGAGGTCTGGCAAAACGGTGTCCTTCTCAAGGGCCGAGCGCTCTGCACTCAGACCAACAATGCACGGAAGTTCGCAAGAGATCTTGTATAAACTTCGTGTCCACTGGAAGCTGCCGCTGGAGGCTTGCCGGGTGAACGGGGTGACCGGGCTCCAGGCCCAGGTGCCTACGAGGTCCACGACAAGCCCCTTGGCCTCAGCCAGCCCATGCCGGCCCTCTGTCGGTTTCGAGCTGAGGCCAAATCCAGACATGAAGACACAGAGCGTCTACTCCTTTGGGAGACCCAGCGCTCGCAGTCGCATGGCATCGGCCCCAGCTTCCTTGCTGTCCCAGGCATCCTGCATTGACTGAGGATTTCCGTACCATGAAGATGCTGCAGAGTAGCTCCCTCTGGGGCATCAACTGATCCCCGGGTCCCGGCTCCCGGAGTGTGCAGAGAATTGGCGCTGCATGCTGTAAAAAGAATGGGCACAGCATTAAAGTGCACAAGCACTGGCACGGTGTCAGTTACTCCGAGAAGTCTTGATCGGCTAGTATTGGTCTAAAGCGTCTCACCATTCAGTGCCTGCAAAGCAGGCACGCTGTCTGTTCTAGGAGGTTTCAGATGCGATGCTGGGGTAAATCCAGAAAGCAGGGCCTGAGCTCGTCACTTTGCGTTTTCTGCATTCCATGACCAGGCCGGGCCCTTGCATCTTCACAGCTCTTCGCAGCGCTCTTCGCTGAGGGCGCCTCGCGGACTGTAACCCTCTTCATCGAACGCACCGCTTCAGCTCAAGATCACAGAAGAAGCAGCTGAACAAGAAGCAATCACTCTGTCGTTGCATCAATACTTTGCATAGGTGCGAAGCCTAAACAGCCTTGGAGTTACTGAAATTGGATGCGTCGTTGGACGACAAGCTGACGCAAAGAGCAGATGTGTCGGCTCTGTTGAACATTTCCAGACCCGAAGTTCCAAAAACGCTGCAAGAGCGAAGACCCTCTTTACATTGCCGTTTGGACTGCTGCCATGATGTGAGGCATGGCCCATGTCCAGGTGCATTCGGCACTGTTGTCGGATTGAGCGTGGGGTGATGCATCTTTCAAGAACACTATTCGCGATCGAAACGAGCTATACCGATCCTTTGCCAAGTTTGTGTTTGATAAGCTCCACGTGCTATCAAGCAAAGGAGGTAGAGCATTAGGGAGTGCAGGCAAGTCATCTTCACCACTAGACCTCGTCAGTGGCGAGGTTTCGAAGCGCATTCCGTCAGAGACATGACCGTGAACGTTCGACGAAGGGGCCCATCGAGCCGGGCGCGCTCAAGTGCTAAAGCGCCTATTTGAGTCCGTCAACAAACAGTCTGGGAACCGTATTGAGAACAGGATAATGAGTGACTGGCTTGAATTTTGAGTCCAGGTGCTTTGGTTTACAAGAATCCGCCGCTTTGTAAAATGAACCCAACGAACCAGGACAACCACAAAGCCCAACAGCAAAATCCGGCGGCGAGATGTTTGGGCATCTCAACCTTCATTGCAAAAGAGGATGACAACGAGGGTAAGCTGCATCAGCTTCGTCGTGAACCTGAGAACGAAAAGAGGACGGCTTTGATGGCAATCGATGCTGAGATGCCGCATCAGCCCTGAGTTCGAGACTTGTTGGAGGACAAGACTGCTGAGGCCGAGGATTGGCACCCTCCCACCTCAACTGATCAACACAAGCCACGCATCCCATTGCACGAGCATGTCACGTCCAATCGTGCAACCCGTCAAGCGCCACCTACGTGAATAACAAGTCATCACAACATAGCGACTACAGGAAAAATGCGGTAAACCTCAAATCTGGGGACCTGAGCACGCCGCTGAGGTGAGTCGTTTTTGTGGTATGTCAGCCGGCTTGCAGGGGAAAGCTGCTTCATGTTGTCTCGCGTGTGGCTTCGAATCGAGCATCGACAAGGTCACAACATGAACACTGTGTTCGAGTCTGTGTGAGTCTTGCTCTTGCCATCAGTCGAAGTGCTTGCCCTGTTCCTGTTGCTGTGCTCTGAGCTGGCTAATCTTCTTTGAAGGACGCGAGCTGGCTGCGGACACCTCGGCATAGCTGAAAGACCGCATTGCTGGTAATTTTGGCTTGCACAAGCTACGAGAAAGCGTTTGCAAACACACATTTCCGTCCTTGAGGCAGCGGTGCGGTGCGCCAGCACGTGCGGACTCTGTGCGACCCTGAAGCCCACGCTTCCGTATTCCTTCGCATAAACATCTCAGTCTGAGGCAGTGGCAGACCGCAGGCACGCTGCTGATCAAATGCTTCGAGTTTCACTATATAGCAGTTTCACATCAAAGAGTGGAGATACGCGGACATACTGGGATACTCGTTTAAGAGGTGGGTGCAGCATCAGCTGGAAGAGAATCTGAAGGCCCTTTCGCAGAAGCAGCTCGGCGTGTGGGATGTCAGCGCTGCACACCTAGGCCATTCAGACCACTCTGGATCGGCACCATGAGGCTGGATGCTCATATCTGTGTCAAAGCCTAAAGTTGTGTCGCGAAATGCGCAAGGCAATAGCCCAGCTCATCAGGCAGAGCCCGCCTGCTCCGTGCCTTGGATAAGAAGCTCAGCATCTCCTGGTTCAATGCCATTTGTTAAATTTCCCGAAGGTCTGAGTTTCCCACAACGCTTGCAGCGCCTGCAGCCTCGGCGCTGCTTCCACCTGTGGGGCCAGTGGCACCACCTGCCAGGCTTTCACAGAATGGTGGCGAGGGCCCGAAGTTTCCTCTGTGATATCTGATTTCTTTTCGGTTTCATACTCAAAGAGGCCTCGGCTCCGACAGCCGATCTTCTCCTGTATTCCGTGTGGTCTTGACCTCAGATCAGACTTCAGCGCCATCCGACAGCTATGGTCGTGTGACATTGCGATTCATAAAGATCCCAATGTGATCTCATTTGCAAGGCTCCTGCGATAGAGGGTTCGGCTGGTAGCGAATTGTCAGAATCGCCGGGTGCTCAGCGAGATCATCACTGTCCTCTCGCTCTTGCCGACGTTTCAATCAAATGGGTTCATTGAGTGAAAACATGGCACATGCAGTGCAACAGTGGATTCTGGTCCGTTTTGAGAGGCCAGGACAAAACGTGGGGTCCTGAGTAGTGCCAGATTGCGAAAATGTCAGAACATGGTACTTTCGCACAAGAGTGCAGGGGTTGAACACCGGCACCCGGGACTTGGAGGAGGCATCGGGTAAGCTCTTGAACTTCCTTTTCCTTGCTTGTGCGAGTATGTTGGTCTTGCCTTATGCGTTAGTGGCCTTCGCGCAACTCTTTGCAGGAGCAGCTGGAAAAAGCTCATTTGCAGCAGCTGAAGCCTCTTGACTCTCAAGTGATGTCGTGCACTGGTTTCTTACTTTCAAGTCTTAACGGCCAGTCTAACGGCAACCCTTGCCCTGGCGTTTTTGGTGTGGAGTGCGACATCAGTTTACCCACCTATTGTTGTATGTTATTGTTTAGTGCAAAGACTTTCGTTCACGAGGAAAGCCAAGAAGCAGGCGCCGCAACTCAGAGTGCAACGCAGCAAAGTCTCCAAGACCTGTGCCGCTGCATGAGGCTTACAAGCAGAAGATTGGGAAGAGAGAAAAATCTTCGGAGAACAACGACGGCGAGGGAGTACCCATCGTCGACGACATTGTGAAGCCAGTACAGGATTCTTGGTTCATGTCCTCCTAGTGATAATGACTGTGCAGAGTGGGTCGACATTTCTCATTGTGCATGATGGAACAGACCTTCCTGATCTTTAGCCCTTCGGCGGATGCCGCATGGGTTCATGTCGACCGGCAACTCATGCCATACTTTCGCTTATGCTACGCCTGCACTGATGCGAGTGCTCACTTGCTCACTTCGAAGACGTCTTATCGCCACATACTGGTATCGCCAGATGCTCTAGGTTTTGGCCTGCCAGGAGTCCAGCAGGGAAAGTGCAGTCAGACTCAGAGATTTTGCAATGAGCGATCGCCTGCCATCATGTGCACACACGCTTGCACATCGACCTCCTTGGAACGACGGCAAAGGCAATGGTGTTTGTAGCAGCAGGCTTCCTTGCGAAAGTTTGTTTTACGGGTACACAAAAAGACCAAAAACAAGTACCACAAGCATGATACCACGCCCAAACCATGATAATGTTCGCGCCACCTGCAGGAAAATTCGTTTGTCAGGGCACCGCGGCCCAACGCATGACAGGAATCCATGCCAACAGTGCATCCGTTGGTTAGCTGCCCAAGCTGGCGTGCAATCTTTGGCATCAGCTTTGGAAGGCGTGCCGAATCACCACATGGGCCGGTCAACAAGCAGCTAAGGACGTGCCACATTTGAAGAGCAGTCGATTAAAGAAGATCCACGGTGCCCTGAAGAAGGCGAGCATGGAGTAGCGAGATAGATGTGCACGACTTGTTGCATGCTGGCAGCCTGCATCAGACCCCTGTTCTTGTGTGCATTTTCCAGATCATGAGGTAGACATTATGGAGGGCGCCGTTCTCAGCTTTTACAGCGGCACCAGAACGGGGTCTGTTACACTGCATAAGCAACGGACATTTGTACCGAATGCCCATTCACTCATGTTCAGTAGATGGCCTTGGTCGACAGCCTGTCCAAAAGATCAGATGCAGGTATGACCGAAAGGGCGAGGATGGTGGTGGCCACAGACGTTGACATTGTTTGTGATGCCTTTTCCGACTGGTACTTTGCCAACCCTGTGTTCGTTTGTTCTTGGTTTTACTCTCACTCGAAAATCCTTACGTTGATGGGACCTGGTGAACTACCGAGATGACCTTCTTCTCGTTCATCGAGAACGGCCCGCTGGATATGATCATGGGCACCATTGTCATCTCGAATGCTGCTGTCATGTTTGCTGCGACCTCAGACGGGAGAAGGATTCCTGAAGACAAGAGGTGGCGATACTGGCGCATGCCGAAATGCGATTAGTTGCAAGCGAGTTTCACGGTTTCACGTTGGGACGGGAAACGTATCCCAGCGTTCCTGATTTGCGACATTGTGAACATGAGAAGACTTGAAAACACCACCTGCAGCACAGTTGTGCTGCCAGTTACAGGTCCAGTCTCAGTGGCTTGGTGCCCTGGCCTCTGTGTTGTCCTCAGCCAGCATTCACTCACACTCCAAAGACTCAGGGTAGAAGGTAAGGCTAGGCAAGGCGTTTCCTCTTACAGCAGGACGCCCTTGGTCTCACCACTGGTGCGGCAGCGGCTTGGGGGGAAAACACAGGCGGGCTCTGCAGCATAGTTGTCATTCGATTCCTGCATGTATAATGCGTTGGCCGTGGGAGGGAGCACGTTTGAGACGATCGAGACTGTGTCGCGCACCGAGTCTCGAAGCGAACTCCCCTGACAGTCTGTTACTGAAGTGTGTCGGGATGCTCCATGCAGGTATAT